GTTCAGAGGTATGGTGTAAATTGCGTTTTTCTAATACTTATTGTTAGGAGTAGACAAGTAACGGTTGGAGTGGGAGAGCCCAGACACCCTGCAGAGGAAACTCATTTCAGCTGCTTGTATCTGTGATCTCCTTCTTTCAGTCACTACCCAAAGCTCCTGACCATAGATGAGGGTAGACCRACCTGTAAACCGAGAGCTTCACCACAACAGACTGGTACAGCGCCCGCATCACTGCAGACGCAGCACCAATCCGTCTGTCGATCTGCTCCATCCAGAGCCCACCCGCCAAATTCTAAATTTGGACTTGGAAAATCAGAAGTTCACGTAGAATCTTTTAAAATAGCTGCCTTGTGCATCAAATYATGTTAGCTGTCACCAACATTTTACTGTACAACGTTTACTTTAAAAAAACTCAGCAGAGGTTTTCATAACCAAAACAATGTAAATGTTAGCTTGTATTGCTAACTTCAGCTAGCCTTGTCGCCAAGCTCAAAATATTGTAAAGCTGTGTTACTTAGAAACTTCAGGACAAAAGGAGTTACACAGCCTAAGTTATCCTCTAAATCCCTGTTGTTTCACTCTTTAAACGAATCAGATGTGCAGACTTTAAACCACAAAGCTGAATTTGAGTCAGTGAGGAAAAAATAGAGCAAAACAAAACAGCAATTTGTTTAAATGTCACCTGCTCTTGACACTTCTCATTCCCTGTTGTCACAAAATGATGCTTTTAAATGAGTGTAATAATCTCCATATCTGATTTTATCCATGTGGAGAGGCACAATAATAAATGTCAGAGCTTRTTATTATACTGTGAAAAGGAAATTAATTTAGTCATTTTTTGTGGTCTTTTAAGCTCGCACTTCTTAAAAGAAACATGTATAAATCAACATGCCTTCAATTTTATGACTCCAAAAACAAAATAGGATGAGAATCAGTTCCTTTAACTCTGAAATCAAGGTTTGCAACCTGAACTAGGAGGAATACTCCATCCTATTGGTGGCGAGCCTGAAATATCTGATGAAGCATGGTACTTTAGTCTGCAGTGATGAGGGTATTGCTTCAGTTCGTTGTGGTGAAGAAGGAGCCGAGCCAAAAACCAAAGCTGTTTATCTACTGAGCCGTCTATCTGCCAACCTTCATCATGACCAAAAGAAGAAATTCCAGATAAAGGTGTTTGAGGAGCACATTGAAAAGGGTTCGGTGAGGTGGTTCAGACATTTGATTCTGCTCTGAAGGCTTTCTAAGCATGTCCATTGGATGTAGAACCCGAGGAAGACCTTTTAAACTTTCGTTTGACCTGGGAAATCCCGTTGAAGTTGTCTTTTTCAAGGGAGGCCTGGGCCTGAAGGCAATCATGTCAGGACAGTGGAAGAACCCAGAGTACCCACACGAATCGAGACCCTACCTGAGCTGGAACCCTTGGGGCTAACCACTAAGTGAATTCTCCAAGAGGAGTTGGGGTGTGTCTGCAGGGAAGGGGGAGGTCTGGGTTTCCCTCCTGGACATGCTGGCTCTAGAACCTGACCACAGACTGGAAGGCCAATGACTGGACAGAAATCCTTTCCAAACTCTTCATTGGAATAAACTTAGTCCAGTAGACTAATTTTCTTGAGCATAATGTGAATCTTTACTGTTTTGTTGAAAGTGGCATGGACCTATGTGGTCCTACCTGGTCCTATCTGGTCTGGAAGGTAGAATTTGTATTTTAAAACTTGTACTTCTTGTTTTGTTACAAAAGGAACATATCAGTCTTGTACAGAACATTCTCATCTGAAAGAAACGGTCTTATGAAGGTCCAGACAGACTAATTTCTTGGTTTTATTCATAAACAGCGAGCGTTGTAGTCTTTTTTCCTCCAGCTCTGACATTTGTTTTCTCTGGAGTTAAACTTCTGTAATTTGCTTCGAGTYCGTAGACCTCAACTGACCGAGGAGTAAATGCACTCTTTGTGTTTTTGTCTGAACACGATAAATGCAGCTGAGCCTTCAACCTGATGATTCACTGCTTCAGAGAAATGTTTTCTGGTCTCAGGGAAATGGAGAAAACAGCCGTGAAACTGAATTTATTCACTTAAAATAACAAATAAAGACAATGATTCATCCTGAGGTTATATAAGACGAAGACAAGAAAAAGGCCATTCAATAATGTTTATGTAACAAATGTTCTTTTGAGTAATAAAATGTCTCTGGAGTGAGAACAACACTCCTACTCTCTTCAGCAGGATGTTTTTATTCTGAGATTTACTTGAATTAAACCACTCTGCTCTCGTTGAACATGTTATTGGTCACTGTACAAATATTTGTTTGATGTTTCATTGTCTGATATCGCATCATATTGATCGCAGACTTGTAAAAAATCATATCATGACACTTTGTGATAATCATCGTATCGTCATCCAACAAATGAATATATCGTACCATATAGTCAATTAAAAGGTCACCAAGTGACAAAGTTTGTCTTTTTTGTCTTCATGTCTCACTGTGATGGAACTGTCCTGTCCAGTTTTTTTGTACTTTAATATTATTTTTGTAAATTCTATGTAGGTTCTGTTCCACCAACTCTTTCTTCACATACTTTTCCAGAGTCAGTTTCTGCCTCGTCTTTCTTGGGGTACTTTTCCAGACTCAGTTTCTGCCTTGTCTTTCTTTGGATATTTTTCCAGAGTTAGTTTCTGCCTCGTCTTTTTTTTGGGTACTTTTCCAGAGTTAGTTTCTGCCTCGTCTTTCTTGGGGTACTTTTCCAGAGTTTCTGCCTCGTCTTTCTTGGGGTACTTTTCCAGACTCATTTTCTGCCTTTTCTTTCTTGGGGTACTTTTCCAGAGTTTCTGCCTCGTTTTTCTTGGGGTACTTTTCCAGAGATAGTTTCTGCCTTGTCTTTCTTTGGATATTTTTCCAGAGTTAGTTTCTGCCTCGTCTTTCTTGGGGTACTTTTCCAGAGATAGTTTCTGGCTCATCTTTTTTTTGCGTACTTTTCCAGACTCAGTTTCTGCATCGTCTTCGGGTACTTTTCCAGAGTTAGTTTCTGCATCGTCTTTCTTCGGTCATTTTCTGTCTTGTCCAATCAGCTGCCCCTGCTTTCGTTGGTCACAGCTGCAGCCACTCTGCCAATCATCCTCACTCCATATGATCCTTCTGTTTCTCTCTACCCAGATGAGCATTGAGTATTCTTAAATGCTGTGTCCAGTTCCCTCTGTGCCACCTTGGGTACTTCTTCAGTTCTTTAAATTTTAATTTTAAAGTAAAATGAAGTTTTGCTTTGTTAAGTTCCTCTTTCTGCTTTCCTGGGACCAAAACCAATGAAACTTTAATATTAAGGTTTTTGATAAAAATCGTATTAGCATAAATCAGTTTTACTTATTTGTGTTTCCTTAATGTGTTTCTGTGAACATTCAGCGACAAAGACAGCTCTGTGATGAGTCTTCTTCAGTAGAGTGAGACAGTTTTCTGCTCTGTCAAACTCGACTCTTCCTCGAATGATCATCAGTGAGAGGATGCGTTGCTTGACAACCAGCTCAGCTGTGTGGACCCTCATAAGAACAGAACCCCCATCGTTTAACACTCAGTTGGTTGCCACAGCAATGGCTGAAAACAGTCTGATTGGGTGGTCAGGCTGGTGGGCGGAGCTTAAGTTTGTACACAATTTTGTGTTTTTTTAACATGAAATTATTCAACTATCAAGAAAATAAACTTTTAAATTAAAATCTTCCAAATGTTATTTGTTGCAGAACCAGTATGTTTTATAATACAAATGTTTTTATTTTAAAGACTAAAATAAATTTTAAAAAATAAACGTTTTATTTACATTAAGGCATCATTAATGAAAATACAATTAAACGTAAACTGAGTAGATGCAGCTTTTGAAATCATTTTTTTCCAAATTTAAAGTCAACCTGATTATTCCCGTGTTTTCATCAGGTGAGTGGTTTCACCTGTCTCTAAATGAAAGATGAAATCTTGGTGTTGGAAGGTGAGTAAATGGATAAAATAAGCCTAAGAATGATTCAAAGGAGGAGAAATGGTGACATCTAGTGGCAAAGCTGCTTTTAACCAAAATAAAATTATCTCAAATTAACTAAGAGGAGCCCAAAAAGCTCATTTCATCTAAAAAGTCTTCTGGAAAGCCTGAAGAAGTTCATAAAACCACTTTAAAATATTAAATCTGGCAGCTTGGAGTGAAAATATAAATTAATCAGGGATGATTAAAGACTTTTACACAGACCTGTAATTATCTGAGTTCATAACAAATATATAATTAAAATAAAACAGAAAAAAGTCACAAAGTATAGGTCAGAGACTTGAGCTCAGCGAGGAGCAGCRTCAACCAACTATGACTTATATCCTCACCTGCACAGGTGCATCCAATTAAACCATCAGAAATAGGGACCTTTTTTAGTAAAACTAAATTACTTAGTGTGGAAAAAGTCTAATATGTGTTCCTGAAAGTTTGTTAAAAACACCAGGAAACATTTCTTTATTAACCGTTGAAGTAAAAGCACCGAGACACACAGAGCTGCTCTCATTGCCTTTTTATTGTCTACAGGTGGACAGCAAACACACCAACACTCTTGTTGCCAATATCTAAAATTAAAACAGGTCCCGGTAATCAACTCCAACTCGTTTATATTCAGGTATTTCCAAAAAAAAAAAAAAAAAAAAAAACAAGCTCTGCTTGGTTTTTATAATCAACCAAACACTTAAAAAACAAAGAGTGAAATATTCCTCTGATGGGCACAAACAGCAGGAAGATGACTTTAATTAAACCAGGTTAATTTAGAAAAACTACCTGGTTTTCAGGTCAGATTAGCTAATTAACCAGGTTAGCTAACGCGTATTTTATTAATGCCAGCATTAAATCATCCCCTGAACGTTTTAGGATAAAAGCACATTTAATTAGGATGCTTAAGTTGTTGTAGTTTGAGTTATTTTCTGACCTRTTTATTTAAGAACATGGTCTTATTGATCATCTTTATTGAACATTATTTCTCAGAGTTTGATGAGTTTGTCTTATTGTTTTCTAACTTTATGTCTGAACATTTTTATTCGTATAATATTTTTAGTTGTATAAATTAGCATCAAACCGTAGCTTGTTGCTAACGGTTGTTTTAAAGCAGCGTTATGAGTGACAGGTATCCCGTCTTTGGTGGTCAAACCATGACTGTCAGAGTTTCATTTACCTGAAGATATTTCTTAACTTACAACTTTAAAAAAATAAAAATAATAAAAATTCAGGGGTTTTTCATTACATCGTCTCTAAACAGCCATCATTTCCTACAGAATTTCCATTTAATTTGTTTTTGGTTTATCTCATCATTTTTTTAAATAAAACTGGATATGACAGGTGAAMCTTAGATATAATTCACTTTTAAGGATAAAACACACAGGTGCATGACATTATGACTGAACTTCCAGGGGCAAAAACACCAAAAACACAAAAAGTTAACTTAAAATTATGTTTTTTAAAACCTTCATGTACAGAAAACTCAGGACAGAAACTTCTTATATTTTCTGTCTTTTAGGGAAAATAAATCCCCAAAATAAGCAAATTTACACATTTATTGCCGTTCCACACCAAACTATCCTAAAAAACTGGAAAAATATCTACAGTAAATCTGGTTTCTGCTTGTATAAATACACAGCTGGTGAACTTAAAGGCAAATAACAGTGGTGCTGAAAACCAAGCAGAGAAAGAATAAAAGTGCACTGGAAAAAAGAAAAAAAGCCATTTAATTTTGAACTCAGTTTGAAAATCATACAGCGGGAGTGAAAAAAGGTCAAAAAGGCGCCACAGATCTGTTTGAATAGAATAAATAAAATATTCCATTTTCTTCATGACAATGAGGTCTAAATACAAGATTAGCCGACTCTCAGAGGTGTTTATTCGCAGGTTTAAAGGCAGAAGGAGAAAGTGATCAAACATGGCAGCTGTTCTGATTTCTTATCGTGTTATTAAGCACTACGAACTAACCGCACACCCAGCTCCATTGTCTCTAATATGCAGCGGTGCGCTACATGGAATCACTCGTACACAAATAAAACCCCAGCTGTTACATCTGCATAGAAAAAAAATCCCCAAACAAATAAATAAACACACAGAAAAAGAAATCAGATCTGAGCTTTTCACAGCTCAGGCTACTGGTTCCTCTAAAAGATGATACAGAAGTAGTATTGATGCAAGACTTATTGTTAATAAGATTTTTTTTGTTGTTGTTTTGKTTGTATTTTTTTAGAAAGAAAAACCCCGTTTCTTCATGGTGCAGATACTTCCTCTCAATCCGGTCATGAAATCAGAGTCAGTCTTCGTCATCGTCCACCACGGGGTCCGTGTCCCAACATGTGATGTCGATCTCTAAACACCAAAAAACATTTTAATCATTACAAAAAGAAGAAAAAGAAAATGTATTGTTACAGAAACAGAAAGTGTGGAGGTTTTTTACTGGACTCAGTGTTTTTTTTTAATAATTCTTGCTATCTAATTGTGAAAATGCGTATTTTAGCAATGTCTGAAAATTTAGTAAAAACACAGGAAAAACTGTTTAAAAATAGTTTTAATAATGGAGATGGGGACTCTTTTTGTAGATAAAGACAATATCATGGCTAACGTAAGAATAAAAAACTGCTGGTATTTACAGGACCCACTGGTAGTTTTTTSTTAGTTCTCTCTACCTAATTGCAAAAATAATTTTTTTTTAGAGTTTTTCAATATTTTTAAATACGAAGTATAAACTGTTAGTTTAAAGAAGGACCAAACGCAAAGTCCTGAAACATTCCAACACTTTCAGGACCTTGGAAAGTTCCTTCAGTCCTTCACACTGTCTAAAGTCCTGAAACATTTTAACACTTTCAGGACCTTGGACAGWTCCTTCGGTCCTTCACACCGGCTRAAGTCCTGAAACATTTTAACATTTTCAGGACCTT